GGTGCCCTTCTTGCCAGCTCCTTTCGGGGTGGTGGTCTCCTCAGTGCTTTCGTGGTTGCCCTTGCCAGAGCCCTTCTTGCCAGCTCCCTTTGCGGTGGTCTCCTCGGTGTGTTCGTGGTTGCTCTTGCCCTTCTTGCCAGCTCCTTTGGGGGTGGTGGCCTCCTCGGTGCCAGAGCCCTTCTGACCGGCGGTGCCCTTCTTGCCAGCTCCTTTCGGGGTGGTGGTCTCCTCAGTGCTTTCGTAGCCTCCCTTGCTGCCAGAGCCCTTGGCAGCGGTGCCCTTCTTGCCAGCTCCTTTCGGGGTGGTCTCCTCACTGCTTTCGTGGCTGCCCTTGCTGCCGCCCTTCTTGCCAGCTCCTTTTGGGGTGGTTTCCTCGGTGTTTTCGTGGCTGCCCGTCTGTGTGGTCTTGCCTTTCTTGCCAGCTCCCTTACCTGACCCTTTCAGATCCGGTGGGCCATCTGGGTAGTACATCCATGCACCCCCTGAGGGGTGCTCCTGGTCTGGGACCCACACCCAGTCGGAGTGTGTGGATGCCTTCTCGGGCCAGCTGAAGCCGACCCGTGCCATGCTGTACAAAGCTTAACTAAAGAACAACAAGCACGCTCGAGAGGAAATATATCAGAAAAGTCTGAACAAATTAGTGATATTCCTGATAACAAAAAAACACTAAAAGACACGCCTGGCAGCTCCACATAAGGCCGAGGACACTAAAAGACACTAAAAGACACGCTTTCCCAAAAAACTGTCGGAACCTATAAATCCCGAATCCGGCTCGGCGTGCTACGTATTACCTGCGTATTGACATGCTTCTGTGTTGGGGGGGTGCTATAAATATGTATATCTAGAGCAGTGTTCTCTATTTTTTCTCCGAATCTTCGATTGCGATTACAAAGATTTGTAAATGGGTATATATATATGTACGTACACAAGAAACATATGTCATTTATATATAGAGGGCATATAGGGGCGGTGGCTGGGCAAGTTTTCGTTGATTGGCAGTGGTTTGTTCTGCTAGTGTTTTTTTTCGTGCTAGTGTTTTTTTTTCTGCTAGTGTTTTTTTTCTCTGCTAGTGTTTTTTTTGTTCTGCTAGTGTTTTTTTGTTCTGCTAGTGTTTTTTTGTTCTGCTAGTGTTTTTTTGTTCTGCTAGTGTTTTTTGTTCTGCTAGTGTTTTTTGTTCTGCTAGTGTTTTTTTGTTATGCTAGTGTTTTTATACTATATATAGTGTTCTTTTCGGCCAGTTGTATCGCTAGTGTTTTTTTGTTGTGCTAGTACCGCTAGTGTTTTTTTTTAATTTCGCTAGTGTTTTTTTTGTGTCGCTAGTGTCGGTGTGATGCCGGTGTGTTGGTTTGTTGCGCTAGTGTTTTTTTGGTTGCGCTCTTGAGCTAGTGTTTTTTTTGTCTGCTAGTGTTTTTTGGCGTCGCTATAGCGCTATTGTTCTTGTAGTGTTGTTTGGTGTTAGTGTTTTTTTTCTTTGGGTTGCTAGTGTTGTTTAGTGTTTTTTAGTGTTTTCTGGTTGGGTTGTGAACTCGGTCAGTTTGTGGCACATATGTTCCGACTCTGTGATTTAATGGCCTGTTGCCCAATCAAATCCAGCTTGGTCATCCCAATGGGGTGTGTTGACTGGTTGGGTGGGATTTCCTTATGGGATAGTGTTTTTTAGTGTTTTTTAGTGTCGTGTTACTGTCTTCGAGATCTACCGATCGATATATATATATATATATATATAAATACATATTGGGTATATTTGCACACACGAGCTAATTCATTTCATCAATCCAATACATGCACTCATGCCACTCATGTAAGCGGATTTTCGCAAAGCCCCATCGATCTGCTGCACGCGCCCCTGCAGCACTAGTATATACAATCACAAGACGTCCTCTAATCCGCTGTCTGAGTCCTCGAGATCTGAATCCTGGAACTCTAGGTTGTCATCGGGGACGATGGACTCGTCGAAAGCTTGGGCTCGCAGGAGTGATGCCACCTGTCGGCAACATTAACAAGCGGATCCGAGGTAGCCAGGTTTGTATTTTTTAGGTGCCACGTGGGTTTATCATTCAGCTCTCTAGCTATATAGACCTGAACGATGATATGTAAGCTTGAGCTAGCTCCTGCCCCAATGCAAGCAATTTGAAGCTCGAACTACGGGAAACTATTATACAGTACGAGTTCATCATTCATTCGATGAGAAATGTTGTAAATTGTTAATCTCACAGGCTTTCTGCATTGGAGACGTGGTTATATGGGGACCGGCATGTGAGCCAACTAATGGGGCCAAAGAGTTCGCCTCAAACAATAACGTGTGTGTGACGATCCATACAAGGTTGCGATGCTCCCGCGCAGGATCCATATATAGGCTTCCATGACACCATGTGTTATCTATGGTATGTTAACTAAGACGAAATATGTTGATTAGTTATTCACGTGAGGCATTACAAGCTTCTTCGATCCCAGATTATGTGCAAAAAAAATGTGGATATGTCTCTATGTGTAACTATATAAGTTGCATGCCTATTGTATCTGTATACACACGTATATGTCGATCTGGTGTGTATATATGTAGAAATGTGTGTATATATAGCTGTGTATAAAGAGGTATATAGGTATATAGATTCTTTATCTACAGTATATATATATATATACACATATACACATATATAGTAGGTCCACCCGATCGTTTCTAACATATTTGTAATATATCGTGCGTATATATATATATATATATGTATACATATACATATATCTATGGTGGCTATATAAAGACATGGCATGCATGCATGTGTATATATATATATATATTACATAATATATATATATATATATATATATATATATATATACACATGAATATTTATATATGGCCTCACACCAAATTACAAATCATCCCACCTTGATCCCGAAGCCGGCCGGGTAGTTCTGTGTTGTTTTCAAATCTTTTCCACCCGCCTCGGATCACTGGGCAGGTAAAGTTATGCCCTATAACCAGATGTGCCCGTGGTGCAGCTCGTATTTGCTCGGGTTCGGACACATCGTTGCTTGCCTTGTTTGTCCTTCCACCTGGTAGTGGTCTTGATGTTCAGGAAGCTGCGGACTCGCCGCAGATTTGTCCTAACTTGTCTATCGTGTCATCTCCGGATCGCAGCAGATTCTATCCATAACAGTCTTGAACCCCATGCTGCTTTAAATGCTTGCAAGAAAGATGCCTGCGCGCTTTTGTGAAAATCAGAGGCAGTTCGCGAAGACATGGCCAGTTGCCCACCAAAGTAACCTCAGATGATGGAGATGATCCTAAACAAATCCTCGCACCTATGTCGAAACTTCAAGTGCATGCCAGGAGAACACTGTAGCTAGCCTATAGCCGAGCTGCAGCCTTCGGGGAAAAAGCCCCATAACTCCCAAGGTGCAAGCTCACCTTCATCACGCCGATTTTCCGAAGCAGCTTCTGGGATGCAGATGTCGAGGCACGGGGCGGGACTAGTATTTGGCCATATTGCGCCGAGGTTCTCTGAGCGGGCCATATTGCCATAGCAGGGTCGATGTCGGATTTTCGATGACAAAGTAGAGTTTCTTGGCGACTGCATAGCGGAGCCTCGAGCGGAATGATTATCTAGATAAGATCACCTACTCGACTTCTGCCAGCAAAACTCATCTTGTCCGAGATGCAGGTAGCACATTCGACGGCACAGCCGATTACCATTTCTGCATCTTGCAGACCCCATGCCTCGCACTTGTATATTTAAAAGCCAGAAAAATTAACGACTGCACTCTAGATGGACAGCCTTGCGGCACAAACCACGTTCTTCGACAGGATCCTCTTGACCTGGGCAGTCGCAATCGTTTATATAGACGCCAACTCAAGAAATTTGTAGTCAACCGTAAACATGCTGTTTAACATGCCTGCGTGCGACATATAATCTCGACCAAATCTAAATCCCGATCCTCTGTCTTTCTCTCTCTCTCTCTCTCTCTCTCTGTCTCTCTCTCTGTTTTTGTCTCATTCATCTCTCTCGCTCTCTTATTCCTCTTGACCTTTAGACGCTCTACACGCGACTAATTTGTTCTACGTGCTTATTCAGAAACCGCATGCATTTCTCTAGTTATATCTTAATAAGCCCACCTAGTGCACACTTGCCAGTACGATGGTGCCCACATGCACGCCGCCTCAAGTCACACATGCCGGTGCACGCGCAGATTGTGACATCAACCTGATTTAGATATCGTGCTTATCGACAGTTAACAGGTTTGTAACTCCTCTATAGGGAGAATATGGAGAGAGAGAGAGAGAGAGAGAGAGAGAGAGAGAGAGGAAGAGAGAGAGCGGGAGAGATCGAGCTAGTAGTGCCAGGCCAGATTAAAGCTCCGCAAATCAAGACGATCCACGATCGCGGCCCCAAAATGCAAATATCCTCCCACGCGTGCACTTCATGTAAACCTGAACTCACAATCAAACACGCTGCTAAGGACGCGTCGTGATGCATGCGCACTATATATACTAGCTGTCTATATTGTACATAAACGACTACAAGAACCCATTATAGGATGACAGAATAACGGCCATGATCGACATAAATAAATATACATATACATATATACATATATATATATATATATACACCAGCGATCGCAGGCCCCAATTCAGATGTGACGGTATGTATATGCGCATCATGCCGTCGATCTATTAGTGCAACATGCCGGCAAGCCATGCATGCAATACGCGCACCATCGATCGTCGATCGTGTCCATATAAGTCAGATCGCCCAACCGCAACATGCATGATCGATGATCGCGATGCGAGTAGATCGTTGGGCCGTTTTTGCTGGCGTGCTGTTGGAATGCCTCGGCCGGAAATCGTTCGTCCCTTCAACGTGCAGATGAACCGAACCATGCCCCCAGAAATGTTTGCTCGCTTGAATTCTCGCTGCTACATCGACGCAGCCGCCTCTTGAAGAGGGCCAACAGAGCCACTCCGATAGTCGTCCTCGTCGGAAGATTGCAACGCACGTGAGCTCTAGCATGCACCGCGGTAACAACCCATGTTGGTTGTTGGGAGGCAGCTGGGCAATTAATATCAAGAAATCGCCGATCCGTGTTAACAGCTGGGCAATTAATACCAAGTCTGATCCAAGTCTGATCGATGCCACCCCGTCGCTAGCAGCTGGGCAATTAGTACCAAGTCTGATCGATGCCACCCCGTCGATCCGTACCCGATCGGATCTTGCTAGCTGTGTTTGTTATATGTTCGGGCTCTTGCAAGCATTTTCTGATGCTGGTCGACAGGGTTGATATATGCAACTTCACGCTCGGAGGTTTGATTGGCAAGTTCTCTCGAAGCTGAAATTGGCGAAGCCTATAGGTGCCTACACATGCTTGAAAGCCCGAACCCATTGATCGTAAGCATTAACTATAGGACCATGTAAATAGGAACCGAGAAGGTAGCTAACACACAGAGATGTAATTAAGCCGAACTCGAAATCCCCTGAATGAGTACAGCCCTGCAACTACATAAGCCCCCCCCAATATATAACTCCCCATCCATCAAAGATCAGCCCATTACATTGGACCACGCAATATATGTCCTCCGGGCACAGCTTTAACCGTGAGGTCTCAATCGAGGCCCTGTATATCACAGGATCCAATTAACTTCTTTTGTCCTATATACCCGCAACTCCTCTTTTAATCCACCTGCCCTGAAATGTTAACGCGCAAACGTATCAAAATTCAAAGCTCCGAGTCGATGGCCTCAGGCAATCGCGCCGCTACATGAACGCCTACCTGGTTTTGGCAATTAATGCGACCTTATATAAGCTTTAAACAAGTAATTACCAACTTCGACTCTATATACCCCTACATTGCAAACACCGTCCGAGTTCTTGATTGGATGCCTATATAATTGGTTGGGCATGTTAACTATTGAGTTCAATGTTGTAATTGTGCAACGCTTGTAATGCGCTGCAATCGTCCGACAGTATATCGTTTGTGCCAAATATATATATACACTAAGGGTTATGTATAGTCTGCCTCTATAAACATCACATAACGAACCTTATAACTATATACTATATACGACCAGACATATATGGGAGTTTCCGAAAAATTGGGGACCCTAAATATGGTACTCTAAATAGTAGGATCCTTATTAAAAGGGCCCCAAAATAAGGTACCCCTAATTTTTGGAAACTCCCATATATGACATGCAGCGACATGTGTATGCAAGGGATATACGCATACAACCCTTAGACCCGAAATTGCAGCCGTTCAATTCCATAACTCCTAAAGGCACATTGTTCACACAACACCGGGCCCTATAACAAGATTGAGCAGAAAACCCGAAACAAGGCCCCAGATCTTATAAATCGCCGCATTAAGTTGCATGCTGTTAGAAACTGTGGTCTATATGTATCCGTATATCCAATATATGAACCGATCTGAGGCTGCAGACATGAAAATCCACGTGGAGCAGGGGATGCCAAACCAAATCAGTCCCGTGGCGACCACATGCCGCACCTCGGAGATTTATTGGGGGTCGGGTTTGCAGGCTATATGTTTTGCTATTAAAACAGCAAGACAGCAAGCAGTGTCAGTCAGGCCACCATATTCAGAGCCAAAGTCCAACCAAAGGCCGAATTTAGATCCATGGATTTGCTTGAGAGAACCTCGATGGCGAAGATACGTTTTCAGAATCATCGGTCGATCAGAGCTGATGCATGCGTTGATTTCGGCCAAGGCTCGTCATAAGAACGAACACGTAGCCCAGCGGCTTCCACTGCAGCCGTCAGGATACCACAGCCTGTGTTTCGGTACCGGTTTACGCGGGATCGCAGGACTTCTGAGCGTAATTAAAGAAGTCGTGCAGCAACAGTCGGCTAGACTACATCAGCTTAGCATTCATTAATTGAAATTTAAACGACACCGAGTCACCGGAGAAGAACTCCACGAAGTGAAAGAAGTTGGCCACATCCAGCGGCAGACCTGACAATATGTCCCGCACTGAGGATCTACGTGAATTTTACGGCGACCATGCACATGTGCAGCAGATGACCTGAGCTTCTTGCTTGCATTCAAACTCGTCAAGATGTGGGCGAGGACCGAATATCGCATGATTGCCGGATCGAGGCAAAGATTTGTGTATAAATCAACCAGGAAAAGAAAAAGCTAGCTCACGTCATCTATATATATATATATATATAGCAGTCACAGCACTTCTTAAGACGAGATACCGTGAATAGATGCAAGGGCTTTTTAATTCAGCCCCAAATGGATTTCAACCCGCAAGTTCTGAATCAGTGTTGATAATTGCATACTGTGTGCTCGCACATACTCGATCGAGAGCCAGGAGGAACAAGTAGAGGTTAATTTCGCAGGCGATTGCACATGCACTTGCTGCACTGATGCAGGACAATTAAACTCTACCACGCCGTTGAAACTCTCAAACCTGGCCCCTGCTACTTTAATCCCACGCTGCTGCATGTCATGTGCCCGGTCAAAATCGGCCCCAAAGCAGCGGCTCCACGGCTGGCCGTGGAATGCTGCACCCATCGGTCATTGTCGAGAGGATCAAATGTACTTCCTCCGCTTCTGCTCGCCGATCGGTATGGTGCTCAAAATTTGAGTCCTCTCTGTCGAGTACCACCACCTGCAGCATACGAGTTTCACCCTGCGCTCCAAAGTAGAAGTACTCGATCTACAGGTGCACTAGAAACGCACGAGGGAGAAAGAGCGAGTGAAGGCCGGAGAGAGTGCATGGGAGAGAGAGCTAGAGATCGACACATATGTTTATATGTGTATACATATGTATACATATATGTGTGTGCGTGTGAAATATAGTCAGCTGTGCACATGCGCATGTATATACATATATATAGACATGTGTCATGTGCATATATACACACATGCTGGCGGCCTGTCTCGGATGGCAGGCAGCTTCAGGTCAGGCTCATTCTCCAACAGCCTCGGAGTCGATGGGTTGCATGCAGCACGCGCAATATTTCCACACGTCAAGCTCAAACGCTTTATGCATTTATGCGACCTAGCGGCTGGTCTTTGAAAGAATCAAAAGCTATCGAGTAAGGGGTTTTTTTCTTTTCGCCGGACTTCGGGCTCGCCTTCGCTTTTGCCTTCGCCTTGCCTTTGGGCTTCGCTTTGCCTTTGGCTTTGGGATTGGTCTTCGCATCCGAGGTCGATTTGCCGGCCACAATCAAGCGCTGCGCATGGGGGTTCACAGGCACGGTCTTCAAATCTGGCTTGTCCGGGAAGGCATGGATGGCTGCCTGAATTCAATGCACCGAACAGGTCAAAGTTTTGATTATACTCTAAAGCAATCAAGTCACAGGGTGGTCGAGGGTTCGAGTCTTGTCCTCCGCCGCCTGACGGAAAGTACGTAAAGTGATGTGTGTGCTGGTGTGTGTGTATATATATGTGTGTGTTTATTTATATTTAGATATATATATATATATATATGGACACATTTGTTTCATGCACGCCATATACGTGCATGTGCATCTGATCACATATTTGCACTTGAAAGCGCACTCGGCCAATTAGCGACGAGTCTCTTCGTAGGCTTCCTCGAGGTCTCTGTTGATCAGATCATCATCAAGGCCATCGTCGTGATTGCCGGGATTGCCGTCCTGAAATGCGCGCAGAAGTATATTCATGACCCATGAACATACAAACGATGCTGTGCATGATTGAAGAGTTACTGAAAGTGGCGGCAGAAAGTTTCAATCCTTAGCACCATCATCGAAGCCATCCCCCCACATCTCTTCGATGGCACGGATGGCACTCTCGGCATCGCGCCAATCAGACTCCTAGAGCTCATGTTCAATCGCAGTTCAAAATCTCAAAACTCATTGAACAAGCATGCACGCACACAGACGCACACACATGTGCACATGCAAACACATACACACACCTATGCACTCACTTGAAGCCGTGAGTCCAACTTCTCCCATGATGAGGCAGGCTTCGCATCATGATTTGCAGCTCGGCCAGCTGCCTGAAAAGGCATGCCCCGCGGCTGCAGCAAATGCAAACTAAGATGCAATCTCATAAGTGCTGATGCGACGCTTCTTGATCGAGGGGCTCGTCGGCCCACGTCTCCTGAATTAACAAAGATATGCTTGATATATACTGCAATGAGAATTTCAATTCGACCTATATATAATTCAATGCAACTGAGAAGCATCCTCCCAAAAATCATTTTCGCCCTCTAGCTCGGCATCGGGGCACCACCTGTAGCAGGCTGAAGCACATCAACTACATATATATATATATATATACATATACATATGTATATGAATATATCCGCCACCGAGCATATACCAGGGGCTAACTTGGCAACAAAGTGGCTCGTTCCACGAGCCATCATCGTGATGCGCCGGCCCTGCAGGCTCTCGAGCAGCCTTTCACAGGACACGTTGAACCGCTAGAAGAAGTGATTTCCAGCATCCTGTCATATGTGTGCCTCCGCATCCATGGCCAGGGGACGGCCGTGCTCATCATTCCATGACAGTGATCGGCGGACAGATTCCCGAGTGCCCTCCCACTCGGCATCATAACAGCCCTCCGAACCCTGGCCCTCATTGCAAACATAGCCTGAGCCACCATCCCCAGCATCAGCGACCCAAGAAGCATCAGCCCAATAGTCTTCGTCATCTTGACCTTCATATTCATTCTCCTCCCCGTGCCACTCACCGTCGCCAGATTCCATAGCGGCATCCCAATTCTCGAAATCACCTCGAAATTATACGCAGCAGGGATTATGGGATGGAGATCAGCTACATATACGGTCAATCGGTGTGCCGAGCTATAGTGCTTGCCTGTGTCGGATGCACCGCAGATCTGAAGATGATTATCTACAGCTTCCTCGGAAACACAACTGCACCGCAAGCTTTAATTCTTAAGTGGGCCTACGTAAATTCCGGGAACCGGTTGCCAAGGTGCGGGAAGGCTGTCGGCACCTGCACCCTCCCAATCATCATCATAGTCCTTCGAACAACTGATGCAAGGAAACTTCAACCTATATAGGCCCACATGTAAGCATTTTCACTGCATGCCTCGTCGTAGTCGAAGTCGCCCCATTCGCGAGTCGTGGAATCTGAGGCAGCCGTGGTGCTGCTGCTGCCCTGCCCGGCAATATTGGATGTATATATCGGGAAGAGAATCAAAAAGTGCGACGCCATCAATAACAATGCATGTCGAGAGTGGGAGAAGAGAAAGACATCTCTTGCGACAAAAATATATAAGTGTGTTTATTTATATATATGTATATATCTTTAACTAGTTACAGATAACACAAGGATCCGCACATGGGTGATTCGAGCGTGCACATGTTGCCCAAATTGCCTTGCGCTTGAAGCCCCGGAGCTTCGGTGTAGGGGTCCGCTTGGACCGAAGACGCACCTAGAGTTCATGGAGTGATCGACTTCAAATAACCACGATACGTGTACAGCTCATGCAATGACTGATCATGCAAGCAGGCAACTGCCGGATTCTCACCGCCAGGGCTCATGATCATGGGGAGCTGCGCATCCTGCAGTCATATGATCTATAGCTCTCTCTCGATCTCTCTCTCTCTCTCTCTCTCTGTCTCTCTATATCATCTCGATATCGATATTTAAACCGGCACGTGCTCCTCGAGCGAGTACGGCTGAGTCTCCTCATCGTCTGCCATGGCTATAGCAAGGACGGCTGGCCGACTTTTGGCGAAAGCGTTCTTCACAGCACGCTTACACAAATGTTGCACTGCCTTGGTCTGTCGACGTATCCACTCTTTGCGCGTCAAGCCCTCGAGCTCACACAAGGGAACCTCGATCTTATAGTGGTCCAACAAATGGTTAAGAGCCCCCTTGACGGCGGTACGGGTAAAATACCTAGGCTCGTGCACACACCTGCACCACTCGAAAGCTTCTTTGCCCTTCCGGTACCGGAGGCTGATCTTTGGGGATAAAGACCCTGTCCCCCGCACACGAGCGCCTCGATCAGGCTCCACACAGGTCCTATACAGCTCTTGAGCTATATAGCGGACCTTTGTCTGCAGCGGGCTTTCGGGCATTTGAAAATTGCTGCGTGCATTCGATGATCGACACATCATGATGCATGCATTTCCCTTGTTAATTATATAGTTCCCGGTCTCTTTCTCTCTCTCTCTCTCTCTCCCTCTAGCTCTCTCTCTCTCTCTCTCTCTCTCTCTCTCTCTCTATATATATATATATCCTGATTGCGTCGCGAGATGAGCTATATATTCTAGAGTTGTACTTATATTATAAAATATCGGAGCTAGTTGTCTAGATTTCTCCATGTACTCTCTCGCCCCCTCGCTGTCCACTTGCATATATACGTACATATATACACATCATGCATGATCATGCTTAAAAAATAGCGAGCCGGCCCATGCTCCTGCAAAAACAGATCGTGTCTCCCCACAGTTGGTGCTTTAAACACTGATTTGCACACGCAGTATACACACTTTCTGAAAAGATAGCATGGATCGCACGTACTGGACGCACACAATACAACAATCGATCCTCTCTATCGCGCAGTGTTCGTGACAGTAGTCATTTTATAAGGCCGTTGGCGTTATAAGGACGTTGAACCGTATAAGGACGCTGGGCCCGTGCTGGAAGGCGCAACCGTAGCCCACAGCGTGATTTCATTGTCCTTTCCCGGCTCGCTCTCGACGATGGCACTCAAAGGAACCAAGTCAAGATCGCCGTGCTTAAGCGTGGCTCTGAAGCGATACAAGTACTCAGCGCCCGTGCGCTTATGCTGAATCAAAGCCACATCCTTGAAGGATTGGTCCAACACCTGCAGCACTTCCTTCTGTCCCCAGCTAGCCGGCACATGAGGAAAATTCCAGACACGCGGGACAGCCTGGGAAGGATCTCTAGGCGATCTGGCGCCAATGCGTCCGCCCTGGGTGGCGAGACCGTAAGGAGCACTCATGCGGAGGCCGCGTTCAAGATACGCAATCGGAGCTTCGCCCTTGGTAGCAGCAAGCCACTGCACAGTGGAGACAAGCTTGCCGCGCGGCATATCAACAAAAACTCCATCCCGGCCACTGACAGCAACGAGAGAAGACAACTCGGTGTCCAGGAGGCGAGCAATGCCAAACAGTTGCAGGCCTTGCTTACCAGCCTGCTGCTCCTCGATCCAACCCCATGTGTCACTCAAAGTGATTTGGTGAGAACTAGCCCAAGAAGAGGCAGCACGACTCGGTTGTTCTTCCAATGCTTGAATTTATCAGGCGTCATGTACATCTCAGGCACCTTAAAGTAGACGACCGAAGTGGACGCAGGAACAACTTTAATGGCCTTGGCCTTGTGCCCCGCAAAGCAAGGGACACCACCATCAGCAGGGTCAGATTTGCAATGTGCAATCGAGGCTCGTCGGAAACGCAGGAGATCACCCACACTTCCCGGGACCTTGTGAGGACCATTCGCGTCCAAGGTTACAAGGGTGATTTTATGAGATTTGCTGGTGCCAGCAAGCATGGTCCGAATTCTCGGCAGCGCCGAGGGCTCGACAAGAATGACAGCTTCCAGAGTAGAACCCGGTTTAAGGTCGTCCAATGCTTTGGCAATTCCATCCTGCGACAAAAGCTGCGCGCTCCAATCCTGCGATCGGAGCTGGACGGGGCCCTGCGGGGGAGCACGCTGAACCTTGGTCCAGCCCTCAGCATCACGAGGAGGCCGGTCTCCCTGCCCTTTACCCTTTGATCCAGACTTGGGTGGGGACACCTCTGCACTACCTTTAGCAGCACCCTTGGCCGATCCCCTTGCAGCAGCATGCTGACCACCTCTGCCACCAGATGCTTTGCCCTCGCCCGGCTCACGATAAGTGGGATGGCGGCTCGAATCGTGGTTTTTTCGCTTGTTGCTGGGGGTAGGGTCAGGCTTGTGGCGTTTGGGCCCCCGCTCCAGGTCCGGCTCCTGCAGCACAACACGGGGAGGGGTTGCCGGGGCACCTCCCATTGCATTTGCTTGGGTGGCCTTAGAAAGGCTCTTTGGGTCTGTCGGCCATATTACTGGGTTCCTGGATCAGGAGTTCCTGAATCAGGACGAAGGAATGGCAACAGAATAACGTGAGTTAAACGCCCCCATCAATTCAGAAAACAGAAAATGAAAGCGTCTTTCTTTCGGTTGCATGGACAGAAAAGCATTGGTTTGGATCCGATGAAACCTATTTTTAGGAGTTTCCTTTGTCATTCCGAACAAACAGTTTATTGTTCTGATCTGAAAACTCATACCATCCAGTCACACCACGACAAAGAAACACGAGCACACCAGAGGTATGTACATGTGTGTGTATGTATGTATATGTACATGTATGTATGCATGTAGTCTGTAGGTATGTATAGGTATGTATGTATGTATGTATGTATGTATGTGTACGTATGTAGGGATGTATGTAGGCAACCCACAGGGCACAGGCGGCAAATGGCAGTGGCGGCCCATCGAAGGCACACAATTCCTGCTCCGCCCTAAACCCTAAATCAGATGCCCAGAACAGCCTAAACCCTCAACCTTGTGACATCCAAACCTGAACCCTAAACCGTATGACCCATGAAGCTTAAACCCTAAATCTAAACTTAGTCCTACAACCCTATGCCCAGAGGTAGCTGAACCCTAAGCTTAACCCTAAACCTTAAGCTAAACCCTAAACCCTGAAGCCCGCCCGCTAAGCTGAATCCCAGGCCCCAAGCCTTATCCTGAACCCAAATACAGGCCTAAAACCCAAGCCATGCCGAAAACCCGGAACACCCTAAACCCTAAAACCCACACCCTAAACCCTAAAACCCTGAAAAGCCTTAAACCGCGTCGTAAACCCTGTAAAACCCGGCCCAAAACTCGTTTAAAACCCTAGAGACCCCGCCCGAAACCCGCCCAGCCCGCCCAAGTAATCTTTTAGGCCGAAACATTACTTGGGCGAGTTTCGGCGCTGTCTTCGTGCCGGAGGCACTTAATATTTCATTACTTGGGCGGCTGTTGGTCCAAGGAACTGTGTTACAAGCTCACAGCATTGATGAACGGCCGCGTTTCCGATAATCTGCCGGATGCGTCCCAGACTTGACATACGGGTGGTGATCGTTGAGGGCTGGCTTACTGGGCTGGCTTCAATGTCAAGAATCTCGTCGGATATGGATATGTGCAGGGCTCATGGCTTTGATTTGGGCTAGGGCTTGAGGTTCTAGCTCGTCTTAGTGGTGGCAGGGCGCTGGCTGCAGGGCGGAGTTTAAGCGTTGTTGCGGCTTTTCCAGTCTAGTTTCGGGTTCTAGAGCTTGCTTTCAATATTTACGGCTAAGGCGGCAGATCCTGTGCCACTACGAAACAGGAAGGGCTTAGACTACATGTGGTTTGGGCGGCATTGAATTAAAAGAGGCTTCAGGTTCTAGAGTTAATAGTTTCTATATTTACGGCTAAGGCGGCAGATCCTGCGCCGCTTGAAAGGCTTAGGCTAGGTCTGAAATTTCCAGTAGAGCGACATTGAATTACAAGGGGCTTCAGGTTCGAGAGTTTATAGTTTCAATATTCACGGCTAAGGCGGCAGATCCTGCGCCGCTTGAAAGGCCTAGGCTAGGTCTGAAATCTCCAGTAGAGCGATATTGAATTACAAGGGGCTTCAGGTTCGAGAGTTTATAGTTTCAATATTTACGGCTAAGGCGGCAGATCCTGCGCCGCTTGAAAGGCGTAGGCTAGGTCTGAAATCTCCAGTAGAGCGATATTGAATTACAAGGGGCTTCAGGTTCGAGAGTTTATAGTTTCAATATTCACGGCTAAGGCGGCAGATCCTGCGCCGCTTGAAAGGCCTAGGCTAGGTCTGAAATTTCCAGTAGAGCGGCATTGAATTACAAGGGGCTTCAGGTTCTAGAGTTTATAGTTTCAATATTTACAGCTAAGGCGGCAGATCCTGCGCCGCTACGCAACAGGAAAGGCTTAGGCTAGGTCTGAAATCTCCAGTAGGGCGATAAGGAATCAAAGGGCTTCAGGTTTTAGAGTTTATAGTTTCAATATTCAGGGCAGAGCGGCAGAGCCAGCGCCGCTGGGCCATAGGTACTGAAGCCAAAGTCCCAACAAGTGCAAAAGTGCAATCGGGATATCGGGTGAAAGAGATTTACAGGCCTCAGGGGTTTTGGACCTAAGGTTTCGCAAACTCTGCCGAACCAAGCGCCGATCTTTTCCCTTATAGGGACTCCGACGCTCCTCGGCGAGATTCGGACATGTTCTAACAGATGTCAGCTTGTGCTTGGACCAGTTTCGAAGTTAGTGAGCGAGGGGAAGAGAGAGAGAGAGAGAGAGAGAGAGAGAGAGCCACACACATACACACCTAAATTCTCCATCACAGCACATAGACTCCATAGACTCACACATTTGTGTAGCAGCATCCGGACTGCCAGCATTTCGCCAGCCGCCTTCAGCAGACTTACAGAAGGAACCGTAAGTCTCAAACCGTCTTTCTAAGCATTCGCACTTTAGCTCGATCACGATTGCCTTGCAAACCTGAATTTCCGAAACCTTGATTGGTATGCAATCAGAATCAGAATCATGTCTCTGGGCCCGCGGCTTCATGTGTCGAGGACCCTTAGGAAACAAAAGCTCCCATGCAAGCGACGCACCGCTGGATTGACACAAACGTCAGACGCATGCAGCTGCCTTTTTGTTTCCCCTTGGCTTGTGATATCCCCACGATTCCCCAGATGGCTCACATCTTTTGACACATCTACTCGAAAGCAATGCCATTGTGTTGGCAAAGCGCTCTGAGAACAGAGATCTCGCGCTGAAGTCCAGCTACTTTGCCGGATTGCGCTTTGTGCAACGAGAGCTGCTCCTGTAAGGACTCCCAATCAGAGTCTCGTTGGCGCAATCTCTCTAGCTCGGAAACTGTCATTCCTTAGGTGCGTGGTTGTTGCAAAAAAATCAAACGATTGTTCCGAGTTGCATACAAGCTTCGAGGTCGGATCTCTTTCAGAGCGGGATCTTCTGCAGCTTTCTTTACTTTCTTTTGACGGTTGCCTTCTGCCGTCTCGATGTGGCGAGCCTTCTTGGTCGCTTTGTCTTCCTTCTTAGCCTCTGCACGAGATTGCTTTAAGCCAGA